CTCCTTCTCGGCCTCCGTCTGGCCTGTGCTGTGGGCCGTCTGCCCCTGTGCCTGGCCGGCGTCTGGCTTTGCTGAGGGGCTGCCCTTGCTGGCCTGGCTGTGACACCAGGTCAGCCTGGGCCTGGATCACGCTCTGCAGCTCTACCTGGGTGGTTTCTTTTTAAAATTTATTTTATTTTATTTTTAAATTTTAAAAATGATTTGTTTAGTTAGTTTGCATTAGGACGCATGTGCTCACTGGAGAGAGAAAACACCCCCTGGGGGCATGACCACGCCACAGTCCTTTCTCCTCTATTCTCCTCTTGAATATTTATTTATTTATTCATTTTGGTTCTTGCCATAGGTGCATGCACTCGTCAGAGAGAGCAAAGAAGGGGAAAGTGAGAAATCACTCCTGGGGGATGGCCATGCCACAATCCCTTCTCCATTCTCCTCTCAGGATTTTGGGCATGCACGCACGCACGCTCAGTATGAGTTTCAGGCACTCGAACCGTGGTCAGTTATGAGAGAATCCAGCACCTGGACCACCACACCGCCCGCTGGCCTCCTCCTTGAGCTTTGGGGCACACATACACATGTACCCAGCACATTTTCAAATCACCAGGTCCAGGACTCAAACTGCAGTCAGCCATGTGGGACGCAGCTGCCCTCGCCAGCACGCCTGGCTGGCCTGTGGGCAGTTTCTGGGCTCTGGCACGTGGGAGAGGCCTCGATTCTCTGTCATGAGTGTTTTGTTTCCTTCTGGCCTGTCACAGGAGATGAGACGCCCGAGGGTTCTAAACCCTGTCCTGCAGCCCAGGGACGCAGAAGGGTGGGCCCAGACTGTGTGGACCCCCTGCTATGGTTCCCACAGCCTAGGGTGTCGTCATTCGGCGGTGACGCCTTATGCACGCTTGTCCCCTGGTTCCTAGTGGCCCTGGAGCCTCACTCCCGTTCAGGTCCCCAGTTCAGCCTCTCGCAGTCCGGAAGTTGCATTTCTCTCCAGGCAGAAGTGGGAAGGAGCAGGAGGCGCCAGGCCCGGGCCGGGTGTGGTCGGCGGGGCCACACTGCCCCTTTATGTATCTCTCTACCCTGGCCTTGGTCAGTATGTCCCCGGGCAGTGACCCGTCCTTCTCAGCCAGCTGAGCCCCCCAACTCTGCGCGCCTGTCAGCGGGGCTGACTGGGGCTAACTGCTGAGCTCATCGGCGCAGCTCACTGTCCCCCTAGCTGCCTCCTTCCCGAGGAGAGCCCCACAGAGCTCGCTGCCCACACTGCCTGTGTGCCAAGCTAACCACAGCAGCCGGCCTACTCGGGGTGGGAGTCACTCACAAGGTGGGTGTGGTCTTGGTCCCAGAGAGGGTGAGTCCCTCAAGGTCACACGTGGACGAGCCAGGAGCGGGTGCAGACGGGGCCAGCTGGGGGCTGTCCTCCCGATCACCCCCCTCTTGTAGATACAATGTCCAGAAAAGACCCCAGAGGCAGCTTTCTCCCTGCGGGGGGTTGCTGCCTCGTGGCAGACGCCGTGCTCACACTCTGCACGCCCTGCGCAGCCGTGGGCTGGATGCTGGGCTGGCAGAGTCACCCCTTTCTTTTATTACCCCAAGTTTGTCCGTCCATTTGTTTGTTTTGCTGTAGGTGGGAGTGCTCGCTGGAGGCACAGAGAGAGAACGTGAGAAATCCCCTCCAGTGGGATGGCCACGCCATAGTCCCTTCTCCATTCTCCTCTTAGAACTTTGGGCACGCACACGCATGTGCCCAGGTCCAGGACTCACAGTTAGCCATGTTGGAGTCTAGTTCCACAGCCACTGCATCACCTGCTGGTCCACAGAGTCGCCAAGTTCAAGTCTCGCCTGGGTGCAGTTGTGCCCAGCCCCTCCTTACCGTGCCCTGAGGAGAAGGTGGTTTCTACCGTTTCCCTGCCACGGTGCCGCCTGGAAGCACACGTGCAATTATGAAATACATCAAACTTTAAAAACTGGTCATGGGCAGGCAGGTGACGTGGTGGTTAAGGCACTGGACTCCCACGGTTTGAGACCCAGACCTGGCAACTGGGTTTCCCACTTTTGCTTTCTCTCTCTCTGACTCCCTGGTCAAATTAAACAACAATAACAAAATGAAATAAATGATTCTTTTTAAAAATTTTATTTAACTTTATTTATTTAATGAATTATTTTCATTTGACCTGAGAGGGACACAGAGAGAGAGAAGTGAGAAAGCGAGCTGCCAGTTCCGGGGCTCGAACCATGGTCGACCATGTAGGAGTCCAGCCCCTCTCTCTGGCTAGCACATGTGCCCTAGAGCAAAATTAAAATGATAATGGTGAGCTCACAGGGACCCCGTGGATTTGAAAACAGTGAACTGCGTCTGTCTGCGGCCGCCCCCGGAAAGCCCCAACTCAGCCCCACCAGGCCCTGTGAGGTCTCCTGCCACCGCCTCTTTCTTTCTTTTCTCCTGAAACTTTTTTTAATTAATTAATTTACATTCATCCCCAAAGCATGATCACAACATACCAAATGTGGTTTCCCATCTAGAATAAACTGCATAGTGGCACAATCATGCATGTTATCATCAATAATTTTCCATTTCCAGTTTCATATATATATACATTTTTTACCCGTGTCTGACCCTCTGCCCTTTCCCACCCTCTTACCACCCTCTCTCCGCTGTCTGCAGTTGTCTTCAATTGCTTTCCCCCCCACATTTTGTTGATCACACAGTATCATAGGTAATCTAACTACTTTCAATAGCAAGTTCAGCTGGTGATTCCAAGAAAAGCAGTTTTGAACTGGTAATGATATTTCCTTGAAACTTAAAGCCTAGAAACAGGTTAGTATTCTGTTCAAATAGTAAGTACATGAACCTATCGACAGCTCAAGACAGGACAAAATCCTTAAACCCGGACAACAAAGCTTAGAAGAGAAGCAGCAATACTTTAGTCAGGCCACGGAGTGCCGTTTCACCAGTTCAGTCTCATGGACTTACTCTTTCTTCTGTTGTGGTTCGATCTTCCAGATTGAACTCTGGGATACAATATTCAACTCCAGACTTGTCCCTATGATTAAGTTGGCCATTTTCTTAGTTTTTGAACTCTTATTTCTGTGTGTCTGTATTTAATTTTCCTGACATAGCACACCCTTGAGAACTTCTTGGAGATCTGGTCTGGTGCTGGTAAATTCTGTCAGGTTTTGTTGCAGCTGCCTCTTTATCTGACCTTTGACAGCGATAGTGCCCTGGCCACAGGTGAACCTGCTTTCAGGGGACAGGTGGGAGGGCCCGTTTCTCCTGGGCAGAAGATTGGCTTGGGGCTGAAGGCTCAGCTGCCGCCCCCCCAGTCCTCTGCCTCCAGGCTGTCCTCCCCTGGCACCGGGCATGGCAGTAGCTGCAGAGCAGATGCACCTGGAGCAGCACAGGCCCAAGGCTGCCGTGGCCCTGCCCGGTCACACCTGCCCTAGGACCTCTGAGTAGGGGCCGTAGACGCCTGCAGAAAGATTTGAGTATGAGTAGTGAGAATGGATATCCTCCCCTTGTTACTATATTTGTGAGGAAATCATTCTGTTTTTCACAACGAAGTATGTTAAGTGTGGGGTTTTATTTTTATTTATTTATTTATTTTGAGAGGTTTTTGCTATAGGGCACGTGCGCTTGCCAGACAGAGAAAAACAGAGAGACAGAAAAAGAAATCACCCCCGGGGGGATGGCTATGCCACAATCCCTTTTCCTCCATTCTCCTCTTGGGATCTTGGGCACGCACGCACGCACGCACGCACACACGCTCGGCGTGAATTTAAGCCACCGGGTCCGGGACTCAAGCTGCGGTCGACTACGTGGAAGTCCAGCGACATAGCCATTACGCTAACTGCTGGTTCCCTCTTTTTTTTTTAAATTAATTTAATGGATTCAAATCCTAGCTCACATACCAAGCACAATGACTTTCCAGGTGTGAAGTCTGGGACTCAAACCACAGACATGTAGGAATTCAGCGTCTTAACCTCCAAGCCACCTGCTGGCCCCGCACCTGTCCTGAGCCAACAGACAACGAGGCTGGAGCCAAAGTGGGTGGGTGGGGCAGGACGGGAGGGGCTGGCGTGGCCACACCCCCAGCCCCACACTGCCAGGGTCTGCACAGATGCCCAGGGGTGTGAGGCTCCCAGACGTTTGGGAGGTACTGAGAGCAGGCTGGAGTGGCTGGAGGAGTCACAGGAACGGGTCGGTGCCAAGTGCAGAGGAAAGTGAGCAACAGTGAGGTGATTTAATTTTTTTAGAGTTTTTCTTTGCCTTAGGCAGGTGCGCTGGGGTGGGGGAGACAGAGACAGTGAGAGGGAAAGTGAGAAATCTCCTCCCTGGGAGATGGCCATGCCACAGTCCCTTCTCCATTCCTCTCCAGGAATCCTGGGCACACACGCACACGTGCCCTGCATGGTTTTCAAGCCACCGGGTCTGGAACTCGAGTCACGGTTGTGGGAGTCCAGCAATGTAACTGCTGTGTCATCTGCTGACCCCAATGAAGCGATTTTTAACTCCAGTAAAATCAGGGGCCAGCAGGTGGCCTGGCGGTCAAGGCACTGAATTCCCACCTTGCCAACCGCAGCTCGAGTCCTGGACACTACGACTTGAAACTCCAGCCAGGTGCATGTGCGTGCATGCAGAATAGCCTGAGAGGAGAATGAAAGAGAAGGGAGAAGGGTTTGCAGCGTGCCCACCCCCTCAAGTGGTGATTTCTCTCTCCCTCCTCTCTCTCTGGTGATCTCGGGTGCCTTATGTCAGACACCTAAAAAATAGAACTCAAAGAGGCCAGCAGGAGATGTAGTGGTTAGAGCACTGGACTCCCACGTGGCCAGCCACTGTTGGAGTCCCAGATCCCGCTTTGAAAGTCACACCGAGTGTGTGTGCGTGTGTGCCCAAGATCCCGAGAGGAGAACGGAGGAGACGGGATTGTGGAGTGGCCATCCCCCCGGGGGGTGATTTCTCACTTTGTCTCTGTATCTCTGGCGAGTGCACATGCTCTACAGCAAAAAATCTCTCTCTGACAACCCAAATGAAGATTATACACGGAGAAGCAAGGCTGGCCTCTGGCCTGGCCTGGATTCTGCCCTACACAGAATGCACAGACTGGAGTATTTGGCTGCCCGTTCTAGAGGCTGGGAGGCCTGAGCGCGTGGTGGCATTGGTGAGGGCCACCTCGTGGCAGAAGGGCAAGAAGACACATGAGACAGAACGGGGACCCAAACGTGACCCTTCTATTACCTACACCACCCCCAAAATAAGGGCCTTCATGCATTCCTGACAGCAGTGCCTCATTACCCAATCACCTTTGCAAGGTCCCGCTTCTCAGCGCTGCTGCCACGGCAGTGAGAGTCCAAGGGGTTCTGGGGAGCGGTCAGACCACAGTGCTGTCCCAGTTGGCTCAGCCCTGGGCACCATCCACCTGGTCAGAACAGGGTCCCACAGCGACCTGACTGCGTGGGGCGGCGTGCTCCCGGCGTGTGTCAGAGTGGAGGTCCGGAGGTCGCGGTGCAGGGCAGCTGCACTTTGGCCCTGTTCAGTGACACGTCAGTTACTGCCTAAAGCTGAAGTCAGGAAGTAGGGATGTACGTCTTCGAACTTGGAGCAAAGAAATGGTTACGAGGGATTACAGCTGGCCCCGGAGCGCGGTAAGTGCTGGGCAGAGGGACTGGCTTCCACCCGCCACCGGTGAGGCCATGGTGCCATCTCCGGATCCCGGGGGGCTGCTCCCGGCCTCAGGGAAGGCCCCGACGGGG